TCCAGGCTGAGTAGAGAGAGAATGGGGGCTGAGACAGCCCTGGGACTTGGGCTAGGTCTGAGAGGTGAAGGGGGAGGAGGTGTGGGATGGCTCACGTCCAGCATTTGTGTCAGGAAGGAGGCTGTTAGTGTGAGACAGAGCATGCAGGGGTGGGCAGTTAGAGAATGTTTACTGAGCGCCCAAGTGCCAGGCATGGCTCCTGTCCTCGCAGGCCAGAGCCTCGTGGGGGAAGGTAGGTGTCAAAGGCCGGTTCTGAGTGCACAGACATCCACAAAGGACAAGGGCAGCCGGGCGACACGGCCTGGAGTGCAGGTGAACCTGAGCTAACAGGCAGAGGATTATGAGGCTGAAGGTGGGGGTCGTCAACTTGGAGGACTGGACAGTTGATCTGAAGAAGACGGAGGAGGGTGCGCGAGGAGATGGACGTGTGAGCCGAAGGAACAGGAAGGGGGTTTACTGAAGCCAAAGAGAGGGTTTGGGGGGAAAGTGAGTGGCCATAGGGCTCGAGGGTCAGGAAAGGGGCAAGGAAGGGGCAGGAGGAGGACTGGAGAGGTCTGGGGGTGTACTGGGCGAGAGGGTGCTGGGCTGTGGATGCGAAGAGAAGGGAATGAGTAAAACATGAGCAACTCTTCCAGGAGGGAAAGCAGACAAGGCTGTGGTCCAAGGAAGGAGAAGCCGGGTTGAGGAAGGGTTGTTTCCTTCTGTTTGTTCTTCGCAAGGAGGTAACAAGGCATCTGCGTGGGCTGATGGGTAGAACATGGAGAGGGATGAGGTCTGGGGTAGGCAGGGCATCCTCGAAGGTCAGTCACACATGTGGCGAGCGAGGACTAGACAAGGTTGGGGGGAACGTGCCAGGAGGGACAGAGATTCGGGACCTTTTGGGAAAGGGGACAGTATGGACAGTGGGTGGGAAGCCAAGGGAGCTGCCCCCAGGGGCCTGGAATTTCTGGGCCTGAGGACAGAAATGAGAGTGCTTCTGGAGAAGTCTGGACCCCTGGGCATGGCAGGAGAGGGTCAGGTCAGCGGACAGCGTGGGGTTGCTGGTTTTCTCCTGTGGAGCCCCCAGCAGGGAAAGGCCGAGGGTCAGAGCAGGAGGAGGGCTGTGATGCTGCTCGTGGAGGCCGCTGGCCCAGTGGGCTAGGCCAGGGAGAGGAGGGAAGCCAGGAGAGGACAAGGAGGCTGAGAGCGGGCACCACGGGCAGAACTCTCTGTGGGTTCAAAGGGCAGGGTGTGTGTGGACCAGAGTGGACTCAGTGGCTCAGGAAGTTGGGGTCAAAGATGGGATTTCTGAGTAAGACTTCCGAACAGTCACCCTTGTGACAACCCTGGGTGTGGCTGATTGGTCTGAAGGCCGCACGGCCGTGGGAGGGGAGGAGACAGGGCTGGGGCAGAAACAAAGCCAAAGCCCTTGGTGAAGAGGGGATGGCTGGAGGCCACTACAGGGCAGCAGAGCGCTGAGGGAAGGCACATCCATGGCCTGAACCTCAAAAGGGGAGGTGTGTGAGGTGAGGGCTGGAGCAGGGGTCTGGAACGGGGGCTGCCCGTGGGTAGCAGGAAATGAGGTGCTGCCAGGCTGCCCTCTGTCCTCGGTCTCCTTGGCTTTGAAGGAACCCTGTGCCCGGACATCTTTCTCTATAGTTTCTTGGACATGGGCGCAATAGCACGTGTAATAACAGCACTTGACAGGTGGGTCCCGGGCAGGACCTGCCAAAGCCAAGGACCAGAAGCCTGCCTGTGGGCCAAGTGGCACTAGGGGTGGGGGGCCTGGGGACAGCTTTCCACCAGTTCATCTCACCTGAGGCCGAAGAAAAACACCAGGTGCAGATACAACCTTATTGTGCTGCTTTTAATTACGAAAGATGTAAAACGACATATTATAAAACTTGAGAGCTACTTTATACAAATTCCAATCTTTAAATATTTTTTTTAACAGGGGACCTGGGAGTTAGGGCACTGGCGGGAAGTCTGATTAGTTGCTGTGATGGTCCCACCGCAAAGCGAAGGAACCACCGTGCGTAACAGAGCCAACGAGCGAGTCAGAGTCGGAAGGGTCTTCAGATACGCAGGTGGGCTGGAACCCACGAGGCTTCAGCTCGGCTAATATACAGTAGACTCAGGAGAAATGAAACAGGACAGGGGAGAATTTATGGTTGTCGAGACGTGATCAAAAAAATTTTTCTCCTAACACCATGTGTCCTAAAAACCACAACTGTACGGAAAGAAAAAGTAGAACACAGGTAGGTTTTTAGTTCTATACTGTTTAACTGCTAGTAAATGAGAGTAGTACAGCCGTCGCTTTCTTGTAACAAGACTAAATATTGGAAGATCGTTTATTCTGATGCATGTAGCTGCTTCAGATGCCGAGGACCACGCCTGGTTTGTTGCAAAGGCAGCAGTGAGGGCAGACTTACCCGCTGAAGGTCAGAGTGACACCCGCCCATGGGTGTCCTTGATGCCATGTGAGCAAAGTGGGTTGGATAATGCCCAAAACCTTTTCACAGGAAAAGACTGGACCGGCGGACCTAAGGACAAATTTAATTCAGTGCTAACCTTACTGTCATCATTATATGCCCCCTGGGACACTGCACCGTTCCTTGGGAGCCTCCATTTCCATGAGTCACTGGGAGAATGCCCCAGGGGCAGTGTTCTTCATTGTGTAGGTCCTGGGACTCCTGCTGTGCAGACAGAGCTGGGACCCCCCCTTGCCACTGACCCCCCTGGGTAAGGCACTGGGCAAAGAGTGGGTTATGCTGGGGCCTCCACTTAAAAAAAAAAAAAACAAAAAAAAAACCCACCAAACTTCTACCATCAGCATCATTCCCTGTCTGAAAGGCCAGGTCAGATATGGGGGGCCTCTGACCCAGGCAAGGCAGCGTGGAGCTAGCTAGCTTCATTCTCGGCACACCAGGGAGCTGTGTACCACGACAAGGAAAGGGCTTGTACTTGAACAGCGAGAGTCACTCCCTCCTGAGAGCCTCAGGATAAAGGGATCTGAAAACTCCCCTGCGACTGGGGCCTGGAGCTCAGGCGAGGACCCTGGCTGGATTTCCCAATTCAACAGCAGAGATTTGGGGTGACTGTGAGGCTCAGGACTTGGGCCCCACAGAGGAAGCAGCAGTGGCGTGCCATCAGGGTTCTTTGAGAGACCGGAGGTAAGGCCATCCTTCTGGAGACAGGAATGGGATGAGGTCTGGAGAGGTTAACAGCCCAGCATGCCGTTCTAGACTCTTCTTGCCATGTGGCACTGACCCGTCCGATTCAGACCTATAGTAGAGCCTTGCTTCTTTGGGCGGGGGCAGACTAGCGAGCTTCAGCCACACTCCTGGGGTCTCCTGGAAGGGCAGTGGCTGTCCAGGCAAAAGTTCCAGCATCCTTTATCTCTCCTTCAGCACTCCTGTCCTCTCCGTCCCGTTTTTCCGTGCCCACACCCCTCCCCAGAGGTACTCTTCGAACCCAGAAGTCAGGTGTCTGGTTGGGGCTAAGCAGAGGAGGAAAGCGGTGCTGGAAACCCAGTCATGCTAGTTTACGCGAAGGTACTGATGATGACTAATGACGGCTTCATGAATTAGGTCTTCATTTTACTGTAGATTTTTTCTTCAACTTCAAAGAATAAATATCCTTTAAAAGCAATATAGAACAAAACACGGATCTGAAAAGGAAGATCTTTTCAGGTGGAGGCCTGGCTGGGATCCCCAAGGTCCCGGCACTGAGCCCCGAGGCCTCAGCGTGCCCAGCCATCCTGGCCGCGCTCCGAAGACAGTCTCCACCCGCCTGCCCCGGAGAATCTCCTTGAGGAGAACGGGGCCGGGTATCACCGTGGAGCTGGTCTCCAGCGTCAGAAGCTTACTAAAGTGCAGGCCTCGCTTCACCACAGGCACAAGTGTTAGAAAGGCTGAAGCTCCGGGATTTGGCAAGGAAGGGGACGAGCTGAAGGTGGGACTGCCGGGGCGGCCGGGCACACCCATTCACTTCTCCGTTCCTTGTTCATGCCTTCGGGGTGCAGCTCCACAGCATCTCCCGGGGCCCACACCTGCTTGCTGCTAGGTTTGGAAAGAGTAAGGCACCGTCCCCGCGCTCAAGGAGCTTATGGGCTAGTGGGGTTCCAGGAACACTCCTGCTGCACAGAGAAACAGCCTCCCACTGCCGCTGTTGGCGGCTGGAGAGGCTGACTCGTCCGGCTTCCCCGCAGCCGGCTGGCGGAGAGGGCGGCCTGCACCGGTCGGGAGCTCGTCTGGAAGACATCGTGGGTCTGGAGATGCTGCCCCCGCCACCGAGAGGAAGCCCTTCTCTCTTCAGGCTCATTCATCACCGGGGGATTTTTTTTTTTTTTCAGTGACTGAATATAACAGTCCTCCTTTTCCCCTTGTCCACAGGAAAAGGTGTCCTGAAGCAGCAGAGAGATTGCATACTTGGAGAAAACAAATGAGCATTCACTTTGCTTCACTCAAATCTGTTCTTGACATCGTGGTAAAAATTCTTCATGTTGGAAGTAAGGCATCGGGGTGATCGTGGCGCGTCCGGTCCATGGCGGGCGGCTGCCGGGCCGGGCCGGCGAGAGCGGGGAAGGCGTCGTGGTGCTGCGGGGCCGCGGATGGCAGCCGAGTCAACCCCCGAAGGCCCGCAGCCCCTCGGCGCCTTGCAGGCCGGGCCGGCTCTTCAGTGTGGACTAAGTCAGTGGTTCTGGTGCTGCACACGCTACCGCAGCCCGTGGCACACTCTGTTCTGCTTCTATGCGCCGACAGACTAGACGGCCGGTAAGCAGATGTCCTGGTCCCGGTGTCGCCCCGCCCGAGTCGTCGGAAGCCCCGAGGTGGCCCACCTGCGGCTGCATCATCGGGGACGCGGGCCTGGAAGGCAGCGCGCAGCTCTGTGGTCTCGAGTGAGCCACGGGGTGTGACGGGGCCTCGTCGGAACGCTGGGACTCACGGAGCCGGCTGCTTCCATGCCAGAAGCCCAGGACCCCTCCGGCCCAGGGGTGTAGCTGGCTCCATGCTGTGCCGTTCCTCCAGCAACACATTCCGGCCCATTCCATCCTGTTCACAGTCGGTCCGCTCGAAACGTCTCTTCCACAGAGGGGTCAAGCAGGCCCATGCTGGAGTCACTCAGCATGTTGAGTCCGTCCAGGCTCAGGGGTTCAATCTGGAGCTCTTCTTCCAGTGGAAACGGAGTGTCTATGTTCAGGCTGACCTCGGGCATGCCTGCCAGTGCGCTGCTGAGGTCCTTGAATAGACTGGTACTCGAGTCTTCTGGAAGGAGCAGTGAGTGGGAAAAACGGTGCAGGTTAGGAGGCATGTACAGACGACAGCCCCACAAACGCTGGCCCTTTACCTTCTAGCCAAGACAGCGATGGCCTACATTCCCCCCCCACTCCCAGGGTCCAGGCAGGACAGCAATGGCCCATGTGCCCCCAACTCCCAGCATCGAGGCAGCACAGCGATGGCCGGCGTCCCCCCAACTCCCAGCGTCCACTCTGCTCTGGACTCTACAGTCTTTTCCCTCAGTTCCACCACTCCCTGTTTTTGCAGGTTTTCTTCCTTTGAGCAGTTGTCAATCACTAAAGCTAAATTCTTAAGAACAGGCTTGGATCACTGGGCCCTTTCCCCACTGTTAATGGTCTCTGGGGCCAGATACCTGCCTTTCGAAAAGCTAAAGTTGAGCCGGGGGACTTTCATTGCTTTGCTTTATAGCATGTTGTTTAAACTCTCTTACAATGGTGATCTGTGAAAACACAGCAAAATACAGACAGCAGAGCTGAGGGGTGGCCCGCACTCACCTGTCAGGATGGTGTTGGGGAAACTCCCGCAGTTGGAATACAGGTTTGGTCTCAAATGAAACGAGTCCTGTGGTTCTCGGGGACCTTGCTGCACCAGGGGCGCCTGGAGGCATCAGAGGACACACGGTAAGGAATGACCTCTGCTTCCCAGGCGTGAAGGACACAACACACTCCCCGAGCAAAACCAGACATGGAAACTGTCTTGGGGGCCTTCTCTCAAGGATCCCACACAGAATATTCCTCTCAGGCAGGCAGGTGCTGGGGTGGAGGAGAGCTCCCTGAGGCGCAGTGTGGGTGACTCGTCCCTGCTCACACACAGCCCGGCCCACTAAGCCATCCAAGGAGACACCAGCAGTCATGGTCTCTGTGGCCCTCTGGTCTCACACTCCCCTCCCTCCCAGCCACACCGAGGCCTTTGGAAACACCATCTGTGGGAACCCCTCCAAGGCTCTATCTATAACCAAGGAAGTGTTATGACCAAGGGGCTCTTCTGCCCGTAGGTTTCTGGGAAACGGAGGCCGGGAGACCCTTTCCCTCTTATGCTCAGAGGGAGGAACCTCAGGCCCCTCTCCATGAGGGGGACTGGTGAGAACTGGGGCCTATCTTAGGTGCCTTTGGCATAGTAATATGCCAAACTATTGTTTTAAATCTTACAAAAATAGGCATTTCTATCATTTTTCAGGAAGATATTGACTCATCTAAACACAACGGGCTTCTTCAGAAAACGAGGAGGCAGAGACTCTTGGTTTATGCCATGAGTCTTCACCGTGGCCCACTCAGGAAACATCTGTCTTTATTTTACTGTTGTAATTATTATCAAGATCTGTAAAATGCTCAAAACCCTTCCTTCTCTCCTTAATCAGTCCTAGAACCCAATCCATACTTAATGGACACTACAAAACCTAGAGTTATTTTAAATGGTCCACATTAGGGAGAACCTACAAAGCAAAAGCTAGGGGTCGAATGAAAGTATCTTAGGGAGGGACGTCTGGGCCCACCTGGACTGAGCTCCCTGGGAGGCCACACTGAGCTGGCTCCGGCAGCGAGGCCTGTGGGCTGAGCCCCTCCTGCGTCTCTGTCTCCTCTGCAGGATAGACCTGTGGACTGCAGTGGTCCCTTCCTTCTGAGCCATTCTACAATTCTAGAACTGGAGTGTCACCAGAAATGTGCTACCACTTGTTCAAACAATTCTTCTGCAGAGGCCTGACACCAAATAAGGCAGCCAGCACCAGGACTCTAGGGCTAGGGGACACTGCAGGGTCCCTCAGCCGCTGGGCACATCTGAAATCTGGGCCATGGGGTACCTGGACTGTTTGGTGTGGGGGGTTCTATGCCCTGAACGGTGCAGGTGCTGCTCCGAGGAAGAGGCCTGACTGGACGCCCACTCACCTGTTGAGGGAAGGCCGGGCCTGGCCTCATGGACTGCTGGTCAAAGCTCACGTCTGGGAAGAAGTTGGTCAAAGATGAACCCTTCAGGGAATAAGGAAGGGAACGTTTAGCTTGGAATTTGGGGCAAGGTAAGTGTTCCCTTCTGACCGGTGTCCCCGCTAGGACCCACCTGGGCTGTGAGGAGCGGGAAGCCAGATGGAGGCAGGGATGAGGCGGCCTGGGGCTCCTGGGCAGGGGGCTGCTGTAGGAGGGGCTGGGAGAGGTCCTGGGGGGCGGGGTAAGGGGGTGGCGGGGACACTTGAGCTTCCGTGGGCAGGAAGGAAAGCGGGCTGCGATCTGAGGACACCATCTGCAAAACAAAGCCTCTAGTTAGCTTCGATTGGAGTTTCTAAGTGGTAAATCCTTTAAAATCAGGAGGTGTCAAAGTGAGGGAAAAGCGTGAGTCCTTCCCTGGGGTACTCTGTGCTATGCTCTCCGAAGCCTATGTCTTACTTCTGCTCCTTCAAAGTGACCTTAAATCTCACTTCCCCACCAAATATTTCCTATTCAACAATTTCTATTGTCTTAAAACACAAAACACCCGTCAATTTAACCAGTGTCCTCAGTGAAAATCATGTTTTTTTTGTTTGTTTGTTTGTTTTTAAAGTCATACCTTCTGGTTTAAGATGGAAGATCGGAGGAAAAAGAAAAAAACCAAACATAGCTCTGTCTCCCAAGCCTCGACTAAAAACATTAAACAACAGGAGACATTAATGAACAACACCTTGAAAATAATAAGACTAAACGGATAATAAACAGCACAAGGACAGAGATCATGGCAGGGAAGAAAGTGGCAGCACAATCTGGAAAATGAAAAGCGACAGACAAGCCGTGACTGGGTCAGCAGAGCTGAGAAAGACAAGAGGAGGCTTGTAGTGGGAACAAGCCGGGAGGCAACCGGACTTCCATCACAGGGTCCCTACGGGTCCTGCGGGACAGCAGTGGGCAGGGGGGAAGAGCCAGGAGGAGGCACGGTTAGGGTTCACAGCTCTTGCCTGCACGGAGACTGGGGGGCGGCACGCTGGAGAGGGCAGAACTGAGGGTCTGTGGGCGGCACACAGCAGCGCCTGGTGGGTGAGGCGCTTGCTGGAAACATGGGTTCAAGCGAGCTCACCACTCAGTCTTGAGGCCTCCACCTTTCTTTCCCACTCTGACTCTCAGGAGGCGGCAGTCCAGGGATGCCAGCATCCTCTGGAGATCGGACCAGCTGGAGAGAAAATCCTGAAACTCAGGGCGCCAGAAGCTCCCCAGGAAAATGGCTGAGCCAGGTCGGTCTACAGGGAGGACCACGCTCAACAAGCCCGCCCATCTACACAGCTTCTGTGCCCTGTGCTTAAACATGAACAGAGTGCCAAAAGTCACCAGACTGTGAGGAAAGCCTCTGAATGGAAATCAGAGACCAAGGCAGACATACAAAGAACAGGAACTTGGAGAAGTCCGTGTGGGATGAAATTGTCATGAAAAACAAAATTATCAGGTGCCTGGGTGGTACAGTTGGTGAAGCGTCTGCTTTCAGCTCAGGTCGTGATCCCAGGGCCCTGGGATCAAGTCCTGTACCAGGCTCCCTGCTCAGCGAGGAGTCTGCTTCTCCCTCTCCCCACCTTCTGCCTGTGCTTTCTCTCTCTTGCAAAAATAAATAAAAAATCTTTAGGAAAACACCAAATTATTATACTATTTAAACTATAAAAAATCCTTGTTAAATCTGTTAAAAATACATAAAAAATATTTACAATGTGTATCTCTATATACATTTTTTTTTCAAAGTGGGGATGTGGATGAAACAAGATTTCAAAAATGTTAATTGTTGAGGCTGGATGACAGGTATAGAAGGATTTGTTCAATTATATTCTCTACTCTTATGCTACATGGAAAACTTAACGTTACAAAAAAAAATTAAAGCACAAACTAGAATGAAAATTACCACTGAAAACCTCAGAGAGATGAAAAAATGATATTGCATCCATAAGACGAGTACGATGCTATAAAAAGGAACACTCACTCGGAGGACAGAAGAGAATTCTCGGGAATTTAAAAGGATGAACTCAGAAATGAAAACTCGACGTAACAGTGGGAAGATAAAGGAGAGAAGCTCTCCCAGACAGCAGGGTGAAAAGATTAGGAGAGAAGAGAAGGGAAAAAATAGAGTATGAGAGGGAAAGTATGGGCTGTTCAAGATTCAACAATAGGTGTTCCAGAAAGAGCGCACAGAGAAATCAAAGGGAAGAAACCATCCAGGAAAATAATTAAGGAAGACTTCCCAGAAATGAAGGATGATAGGAGTTTCCAGATTGAGGAAACCCACAAAATATCCAGACTCATGTGACCTTGAAGCTTCAGAACTCTGGGAAATAAAAAGAAGATCCTACAAGCCTCTAGAGGGAAAAAAGGACATTTTGTTCAAAGTATTAAGAATTGGAGGGGCACCTGGGTGGCTCAGTGGGTTAAGCCTCTGCCTTCGGCTCAGGTCATGATCTCAGGGTCCTGGGATCAAGCCCCACATCAGAGCCTGCTTCCCTACCTCTCTCTCTGCCTGCTTCTCTGCCTACTTGTGAGCTCTCTCTGTCAAATAAATAAATAAAATCTTAAAAAATACATATATTAAAAAAAAAGAATTGGAATGGCACTGGATTTATTATTAGCATCTCTAGAAACTAAAAGGCAAAGAATTAATACCTTCAAAATTTTAAGAGAAAATTATTTCAGATTTGAATTCTGTATCTGGCCAATTATGAGTTAAATGACGGGTAGAAGGAGGACATAGTTGAATCATGCCAGGCTCACATAGCCTTCCTCGGAAATCTTCGGGAGGGCTTGTTTTTTTTCCTTGTTGTTTTGTTTTAAAGATTTTATTTATTTATTTGAGAGACTGAGCAAGCGCACAGGCTGATGGAGAGGGAGAAGAAGACTCCCCACTGAGCAAGGAGCCCTATGCCACATGGGGCTCAATCTCACGACCCTGAGATGAACTCGAGCTGAAGTCAGATCTTAACCGACTGAGCCACCCAGGCACCTACGGAGGGCTTGTTTTTAAATCTACTGAAAGGAGATCTACCCAACTCTAAGAGGTGGGATTGGGATAAGAAATACATACATAGAAAACCAGACTAACAAAAAAACAAGACATTTATTAACTCCCAGGAGAAAAATATTTTCCATTTTGTTATTTCATGGCATATTAAGTGGTTCAACTCTGCCCTATTATAACTGGGAAAACACTAAACACCGAATATTGCTCTCATCAAAAAACAAAGCACAGTGTGAACGAGGAAGAAACATGTGGGTGGGTGGGTGGGTGGGGTTTGGGGAGAGGTGAAAAAGAACCATATCCTAATGGTAGGATATCATCAGAAAATACCTAACGCTAAAAATCCAGAACAAAACAAGCATGAAATAATATGGTTATACCAGAGAGATTAGCTGAAGTGTTAAAGGCGTCATCTCTAGGGAGTGAGAAGTACAGGGAGTCGGGGAGGGGAAGACAATGTTATTCCGTAACAAGCCCTTTCAAACTGACTTGGGAAACTATGTGCATGGAGAACATTGATTTTTTAAAAAATCGTAATATTAGGCAAACAAAAAAAAATGGAAACATCTGGAAAAGGATGCTCTCTATGCCTACAGCTCTCCTTAAAATGTAGCTAGAAAGCAAGAGTAACATTTTTTACATCCTATAAAATAATCTTGCAAAAGAAAATTAAAGGCAATCCAATAACATAAAAAGAACCATTAAAAAAACAATTATGAAATACCCTCTCACCCTCTCCCGAAAGGGATTACTCATGTTAAGAGTGAGTAATGACTAGATCTGCTAAGTCCCTCCGTTGTGTTCTGTCAACTCTTGCTAAATCATGACTCATTTATGGCGAGGTGGGGAGTAAATGATGTCACAGTGTATCTAGGGAGGGACCAATAGGTTGAAAATATATTCATTGATGATTACAGTAAGAACCACCCTAAGTGCTCAGAATAAAAACAAAGTCAACAAGACAAACATATGATGTTTTGACATCTGAATTTCTGTAACAGGCTTGTGATTTCAAAATGTGCCTTTCTCCTTTTCTTTTCTCCTTCCTTCTTAATTTTTGTCTTATTTTGCTTTTTAATCTCCATACTCAACATGGGACTTGAACTACGACCCCAAGATCAAAAGTCACATGCTCTACCCACTGAGCCAGCCAGGGGCCCCAAAATGTGCCTCCTCCTGAACAGACTTCTTTGGGTCCTTCTGTGGAGGATCTTTATTATATCCTGATCATGCCATGAGCAGTAAAAGCACAGCTCCTCACATCTGTAGGCGTGATTAGGGAAGAGGTCTCACCCAATACCAAAGCTTCAGGGAGGTATTAAAGGTCTTTAGCTTTCCCGTGGCTTAAAATACTCACAGACTCAGTTACTGATAATTTTCCACACCCATGTTAAAGCCCCGGCCTGGTCTCCCGCAGCCATACAAGACCCGTCTGGAGTGTTCTCCACGCCCTCCCAGGCCCCAGGCCCAAGGTGGTTGCTTGCCCGCCAGCGATCATCACAGTAGACGCGGGAGGACACGGGCAGGGCTTCCCGAGGTATTCACACCTGCTCCCCCCATCTCAGGGGAGATCTCGCGGCCTCACCTGCTGAGGGGACCCCGATCAGGCCCCGCATGCCTCCCCGTCGGACCGTGGCTTGGCTCTCACCTGCGCCGCGGGATACGGGTTCAGGGGGCTGGTGGCCGAGAGCTGCCTGCTGAAGGCCGGCTGCGCCTCGGGGCCCGGAGAGAGCGTGAGCGGGCTGACGGGGGGCTGCCTCCGCCGGGCCGGGCCGCTCAGGGCCGTGGTGGACAGGGACGGGTTGCTGAGGGAAAAGAGCCGCAGGGAAGGGTGAAGGGCGGAGGCGCTGGGAGCGGACGTCTGCGGGTGGCTGTTCAGGGAGGAGGACAGGGCCGTCTTATTGAGCGTGGCCTGGATGGAGGGGTTGCTCCGAGAGCTCTGCAGACCTAGGGACAACAAGGGCACAGGTCACTTGCGGCAACTGCAGGACAAAGCTTTCATTTGCCAAAGACTCAAGAACACCTAACTTCCTTCTATCGGTATCTGATGCTGATTCTGTGAGTGGGGTGGCTCTGGGGCGGCTGTCCTCCTGTGCACACAGTGGAGAAGGGCTGCGCCCACAATGAGGGCTAGTGGCAGCGGGGTGACAGGGAGTCTGACTCACGAGGACACGTGTACACAGCCACCTGGGCAAGAGACCCCAGGGCTGTGCACACATTCTGTTCAGAGCCCCCCAGTGCCTCTGTCCCGGCACCCTGCCCGGACCCTCTGCTGCCTTCCACTGAGAGTCACGGCTCTGGGGCGCTGCATCGGGGACCCTGAAAATACCCTGAATGCCCCAACAGTCACAGGAAGGGACTCCCCTCTCATGTCTCCTGTTTTCTCTGTTTTTCTGGCTCCTGAAAAATTGTTCGTCACAGTCTATTCCAGTTCATGGAAAATGAAGTTTTTGCTGGTGCTCTGCTTTATTTGGGGGGAGGGGCTGCAATTTTTAGCTCGAGTCGGAGTTTGGGAAAGGCATCTCCATGACACAGGCTGCCAGGGCACAAGCCCTGGGAGGCCGGAGACCATGTCCTGTGTCCTGCCAGAGCCTTGGCACCAGGCCAGGCACGGAGTGGCTTTGCTCTGTGACTTAATGATGCTTCTGTGTATCTCAGAAGGCAGTGCCTGTGTTTCAAAGTTCAGCCCATTACTCTGGGACCAGAAGCCCGGGTGCGTACAAATGTGTGTTCTTTTCTGTTCATAAAAAACTAAGTGTTCGATAAGAGTTAACTGCAATGGAACAAGGACAAAATAAAGCTTTTTTTTTTTTTCCGGCAAATGATTTTTCTAAACACAGAAAAGAGGTCTCTGGTAAAACCCTACGTAGCTCCACGGAAAGCCCAGTGGTCCGCTGACTCGAGCCCCAATCAGAGCTAAAGATGTGAGCTTTGGTTAAGAAACAAAGTCACTCATTCAGAAGGAAAGCTCAGACGTGTTTGTATGCCTTTGTTCACCATGCATTTTAAGGAATGCCTAGAAACTATAAAACCTTGAATCCAGTTCTGGACAAAGTGATGTTTTGAGGAAAATAACACACACGTGATAAACACAGGATTTTCAGTTGAAGTGAAGCGTCAGAGGCTGCCCTGGAGAACGCCAGCTTCCCCAAGACCCCAGGGAGCTAACTGCCAATGTTGCGTTATTTGCGTGACCTTGGATGTCCTTGTTCACGCAGAATTCACCAGGACACTTGAAAGAGCAGCAGGATAATAAAATGACCTAAGTGAGTAAGTAGAGGTTATCTCTAAAATGAATTCTTCAAACCTAAAATTATGTGGGACAATGGCAGCACCTTCTGCAAGCTTTAGAGAAACTTCCAGATGACTGCTGTAAAGGGGACCTCTGTCAGGTGAGTGGTGGATTCTGATTTGCATGGACAAGTCCTGCTGAACCCAGAGTGGAAACCAGCAGGCATGTCCCCCACTGGCGGACCACCACTGGGGACCCCTTCCTAAGGAAACGGTCCACACCACAGCTCTTCGGACCCGGACAGCCAGGGACTGGATCGCAGCCCTGGGAGTAAGAGACCAACGCCTGCCTCAGACATCAACAGGGGCACCTGTCGAGGTTCAGGTAAACATGGACAGGTTTCAACATGGGGTCTGGGTTGTGGGCGCTCACACATGGTGCAGCAAAACCCCGGTCACACCATGGGCAGCATTCATACAGCCTCATGCGGACCTTTAAGCGCTTCTGAAAATCTGAACCAATAAACTGGCAGATTCCTATTTACTATGTGTATCTCTGGAGTATAAAACAGTTTCATCATAGCCAGTATAAATGTTCTAAAATTCAAAATATTCTCTTCTGAAATCCGGTGGGAAATGAGAGGGTTCTAGAAAGATAGCTGTAATGATAAACCATCGTGGCATGTTCATAAGCGCCACTAATGTTGTTCAGTGAACAGGGCATGGAATGGACACTTTCTTCTTGGCTTTTGCATCTTACTCTCCAAGTCCCAGGACACCTGGGCTGCTGAAGACAATGAAGGAGGAGGTCTAGCAGAGCGTTCCGGAGCTCATGGAATCCAGCGGAAACAGACCAAAGGGAAAAGTCAGCAGGGTCAAGAGCTCCAGGAACAGGTATGTCGCTATCTCTAACTCAGATGAATCATTCTCACTCACTGGGACCACCTGTGATCAAGCCACCGGTGCACATACATGGGCACGTCCTCACTGAGTGGGGCACACTTACCAGAAGAGCTCCGTAGGCCCAGGTGAGTCATGGCAGCTGGCAGGTTGCCCACGCTATTCCCCACACTCATGCTACCGAAGACGTGGTCGCCGGTGTCCAGTGAGGCTGGCACGGGCGCGGAGTAGTGGAGGTTGGTTAGATCTGGCAATGACCCCCCAGTGTTCAGGGTCCCCAGAAAGGGTGAGAGGCCTATGTTTTGACCGTTGTGTGGAAAAGCACTGAAAAAAAGAGAGAGAAGTGTTACTTTCTGAAGTGCATTTGGTGGCTAGGGAATAGGAGAGACTTGTCAGGGAAAGGCTGTGGCATCGGACACCCAAGTCCTTACAGAAGCTGAGACTCTGCCGCATTCTGAGGACCTGCCTCCTCGGCTTAACTCTCTGGAGAGCCTTACCTGTTCAGTCAGACTAAGGACGTCATCTATGCCTACTCTGCAGGAACATTTTTCCAAGACCAGATCAAACGATGAGTGTAAAAGTTCGCTGAAAACCATAAGGCCCTATATAAAACGGGAGGTACTACTTTGTATTTGCATGGTTCTTTTTCCAGATTTTAAAAGTATCTTTCCTGCACACACACACATACACACACACACACACACACACACACACACAAAGTCTCTCTGCATCGAGCAGATACCCTCCAAGATATATTTAGTTACAGTTTTCATCAATTTTAAAGTGAGAAAGGGATGTTAGCATTCGCTTATCCGCTGTGTGCCAGGCGCTGGGCTGAGCTGGTGCTACAAAGACCAAGGAGCCGAGCGTGTGGGTTCGCCGTCAGGCCCGCCCCTGACATCTGCAGGTCTGCAGCGAGAGTGCGCGTGGAGGCCCACGTACCATCTGTTTACACGTCTAAAAGTTATGAATCAAATTAACACACCCTTAACTGAACTATGTTCTATGTTTCTGTCCTAACAAATGACACTTCCGTAAGAGCCTGGAAGGCCAGATTCAAATCCAGAATCCTCCGGCTCCTGGAAGCTCTGCCCTGGGACATACGAGGGGTGGCCGTCATCCTCAGTCTGCCCCAGCCTGCTCCGCAACCACAGGGCCCCCACACAGCTCTCCCAGCCTACAGGCTAAGCCCTGGCCATACTCTACGTCCCCCCGACTGCATCCGTCAGGCAGGTGATGTGGTCCCCAGTGGCCCCTTGGACTCCAGACCCCATGGGAACGGGGTCTCTAAAGTGTGGGGTTCTGGGAGGGGCCGCCTAGCCCCGGTCTGTGGGGCACTGCTCTTGGGGTTCATGGGCAGACAGGAGAGACAGAACGGTGGTAAAGCAAGCATTTGCAATGTAGAAGGAAGCATGGGGCCAGGGCTGAAGGGGGTGGGATGATCATTAGGGACCAGAATTGCAGGACCTGCTGGGTTGGGAAGGGAACGCTTTACCAAGCACGTGACAGGGTGCTCAGGCGTCAGGAAAGCCTGGAGTGGCCAGGGTGTCAGGGCAGAGCGAGGAAGGGGTGGGGAGCAGGAGATGAGGTAGGAGGGGAGAGAAGTGAGCAAGGGTAAGACGACATGCTGTTCTCAAGAGTCTGGATCAGGGGCCGTGGGAGGTAGGGAGCCCAGTGTAAGCTGGAGAATGACACTTCAGAAATGCCACTGTGGTCACAGCTTGGAGGACGGTGTAAGGGAGCAGAGAGTGAGGCAGCGATGGCCCAGGTCTGACCCATGAGGCTGAAGAAGAGAGGAGCTGGAGGAAGGAGACGCTAGCGGGGAGCGGAGGAGGGTAATGGATTCCGCCGAGGGCGCTGCTGTCCAACAGCACCTCCCAGGGACCAGCCACGGGCATCAGGGCCACAGGAGACTCAGACAAGGCAGGGAGACAGCCACATGATACAAGTCTGCAGTGGCGTGAGGTGTGGAGGGGCTAACCAGCGGGCTGGGGGGCTTCCTGGAGGGCTCCTGGGCTGCGTTCCAAGACCCAGAGGGTCTAGGTGGGAAAACCAGTTCAGGCAGAGTTCACGGCATGGGCAAAGCAAGGAAGCACGAAACCACACAGCCTGCCCGAGGAATTTAGATACAGCAGGAACTATGACAGGAAGGTCAAGTTCAGGAGAGGTGGTGGTGAGGGAGGCGGGACTGGACAGGTAGGCAGAGAGCACATAAGGCTCAGACTGACAAGAAGCCAGTGGAAGGTGGGAAGCAGGAAAAGACATAATCCCACTGAGGACAATGTGGCTAACAGATGGGGGAGGAGGACTGGCATATGGAGCAGAGCCTGGCGGCAGAGAGGTGAGTGGTGGCTGGTGCGGCTTGGTAGTTTGGCAGAGCGAAGACAGAGCGTGGGGACTGAGTCGAAGAGACAGAAGGCACTACTGGAGAAGGACTCCCGACTTTGCAGCATGGGGACGCTGAGGTGTATGAGCAGACTGGGGTGGTGGGCGTGTGCTGTGGGGATGACAAGGAATTCTGTCTTAGATACCGAGTTCGCACAGGACAAGAGGACGCGTAAAGGGACGTCTCCTGAGGGCAGCTCCCTTGGAACAGTGCGGCTGGAGGCCAGGCCACGGTGGGCTACAGAGTGGACAAGCAGTCAGGGGAGAAGCCTCAGGAGTAAATACTCTTTCCAAAGTGTGGCTAAGAATTCTGGAAATGAGCAGGTAGGAAGTAACTCTAAGTAACTACAAGGGAATGCAGGGCTAAGGAAGGATTTTTTCTGTGCAGACTCCTTAGTGAGTACATTTAAACACAGAGAGAAAACCTACTAGGGCAGACAAGGCTGAACACGCAGGGGAGGGCAGGACAGGGAGGAGGGAGAAGCCTCAGAAAGGCCAATGCGGACAAGGACCAGGGAGTGGGTAAGGCGGTCAGCCTTGGCCAGGAGGACACCTGTGTCTCTGAGACCACGAGGAGAGAATGGCCAGAGGAACCCGGGCCAGGAGGGAACCTGAGCCTGCCTCCCTGGGGGCCTCCCTCTTCCCGGTACAGGTAGGGGGATGGACGGACCTGGCAGGTTTGGGAGGACGTGGGGAAGAAGGAAAGGTGTCCAATTTGGCGGATGAGGAAGAAAGATTTTGGTTGTAGAAAAACTGAATGTGGTACCTTGTCTTTCTGATTGGCTGGATGTAGGGGAATGCTTATAGCGTCAAAGGTCAAGGACTAGAAAAATGAACTTGAGAACCCAGGGTGGCTCACCCTGACAGTGGACAGGCTCTCTGACTGATGGGCGGCAGGAGGGAACGAAGGCAGAGGGAGGAAGCAGAGAAGACAGGGTCCATTGGCACAGAGCAAGGACGGAGTCGCTGGGGCTGGTAGGAAGCCGGTCACTGGTGACATTCAGAACAGTTTCTCTCCAGCTTAGAGAAACACAAGTTGTAACTTTCCAAACATGCCTATAACCTGCCGGCATCCTCTCTTGAATCTGGTAGGAGGCAGGTAGTACTATCCTGGGTTCAAAACCTTCTGATGACTCCTATCTTACTTCCCATCCGCAAGGACAGCGGCCTCCTTACTGTCCAGGCACTCTCCTGCCTCAGTCTCTACCCTTGCTGTTTCCTCTGCCAGGGGCCCCTTTCCCCTTCCCGTCCCCCCATGTCCTAGTCACGGAGCATCTTATCAAGAAAGGTCTCGCCTATCTTACCCTGCCTTCTCGCTCTTCATTGTGCTCACCAATACACGACATATTTGCCTAATTGTTCCTGCCTATCTCTGTCCACTAGAGCATTAGCTCCTGGAAAGCAGGGGTGTGACCACTTTGTTCCCGGCTCTACCCCAGCACCTGGCATTAAGGGTCAATAATACCAGAATGGGTAAGAGTCACCGACTGGAATTCCAGCTTTAAACATAAGAGCAAGAGGACAACACTTGGCATCTGAGAAACTCCTGCTTTAAAGCTCTGGTGGGGGAAGAGGGGGCAAAAATACCGCACCCCGTTCTGGAACACAGGCCTCCAGAGCCCTGATCACTCAACTGTCAGGGTTCTTGAGGAAAACCTTAGCCCTCTCTGTGGGGACCCCCACAGAGTGGGGTGTCCCGGCGGGCTTTCTGACTTTTTGGAGAGAAGGTCAGTCCTCACCCCAGCTCAGCGGACTGGCCATCACCGGAGTTTATGCTAAGCAGCTGAAGAAAGGAAAGCAGGGCCCTCCCTGAGGAATGGCTGGCAAAGGCCCCCAGGACACTGCTGGGGAATAACATTCAAGCAGGGCCTGAAGCAGATGTACTGTGTCCCCAGGCTGGCTGATGGGTGTTCTCGGCCTCGGGCGGCTCGTGCAAGGGCCCCATGTGCAGACCGTGTTCTTCCGGCCCCGGAAGGCGCTGCTGCTTCCAGGCTGGGTCCGGTTCTAACAGTGGCAGTGGTGAGCGCACCGTGGTGACCGGCCTCGGGCACGCAGCTCCCGCGGGCCCCCCGGGGGGTCCGGCCTCTCTGAAGGAGGTCCTTCCTGGCAGCTGGGGTCCAGGAGCAGCAGCTACTCCCCGGTGAACCCCGCTGTGCTCCCTGAAACCCACCCCCTGAGCAGCCGGTGCGGCGCCCATGGACGTCGGGGTGACGTGACCCCCTCAGCTCCTCACCTGTCCTGTGTCCCAATCTCCTCAGTGCTTCTTCCCTCACGACTGACCAGGCCGCCTTCTGCAGGCCGCCTGCCACCTTGCAGGGAGCAGAGCCGCGCAAGGACACTAACTAATTAGCGGTTTCAAAGGTACTTTTGGTATTTGCCAGTTTTCCTTGACTCACCTTCTGCTGACTTTTAAAAACTGAGGTAAAATCTACCTGCCGGGAGGTTTCGCACGTCTAAGTGTGAGGCTCGGCGGCCGGAAGTGTGCACGGACACGCTGTCCGTGGGCGTGTGTGTTCACCGACGCTGGGCTGTGCTCTTCTCAAGCGTGTTTATGGCACTGTCGCTTGCTAGGGCCGTTCGGCCACTGGATTACTTAAAACAAATGAAATATGACTACCAGCAGGAGCTGCTGTTTTTGTGAACGTTCAGCTGACTTCCAAGTTACACCTAACAAGGGAAGTTGCTCGGATTTTTGGGACAAAGTCCCAAGACTTTCCTTAGGGACAACGTTGGGGATAGTCGGTCTCTGAGCCTTGAACAGGAAGAACATGACTTACTTTCCGCCTCCAACATCACAGGATCGAGGGCGCCCTGACAGGGACTGAATCTGGGGAGAGACATAAAAAACCTGGGATTACTCACTGTAAAGTCAAATTCAAGTTCTTTGAAAGTGTCTTTATAAGTGTCTTGGGCTCCCAGCACGGTAAGGAGCACCCGCACAGGGCAGCCATTTCAGTTCGGACTGGACTTTTCCTGGCACAAGGGGGGCATGACATTAGTGAGTTTTCTTAATTTCTGCCTTGTTAATTTATCTCCTAGGTGAATACTATTTCCTTCAAAAAGGCCAATGTTTTGGGGCGCCTGGGTGGCTCAGTGGGTTAAAGCCTCTGCCTTCGGCCCAGGTCATGATCCCAGGGTCCTGGGGTCGAGCCCTGTATTGGGCTCTTTGCTCAGCGGGGAGCCTGCTTCCCTCTCTCTCCGCCTGCCTCTCTGCGTACTTGTGATCTCTGTCTGTTGAATAAATAAACAGAATCTTAAAAAAAAAAATCCAAAAAGGCCAGTGTTTTATAGAGAGAGTTTTTAAATCAACATTATTTTCCCAACTGGCCTCAGAAAAAAGGAAGAAAACAAAAAAACAAAACAGGGTGAAGAAGGAGGAAATTAACGTCAGAAGGAAACACTTACTTCCGCTAGAACATAAGCTTCAGGAGGGCAGGGTTTTTACTCTGTTCATTGTACTATCCCTGCAGCTAGAGGGCCTGGTGATAGGGGCTCGATAAATAGACTGTGGGGAAAAATGAATGTACCACTGACTCAACTCTTCTCCCAGAAATGGCTTACGGAGTGCTGCAAATCCCTACGAAGTAGGGTGAGCTCCTCCTTCCAGAGACAGCAGTCCCTGGCACTTGGGGAAGAGTGGGTGCTACCACCCTTCCCGCTGGAGAAGATGGTGCTGTCCTCCAAAACCACCCGTGCTTTCCACGGCCACAAGGACAACATGGCCCCTCCTACTGTTTAGTATGTTCATTTTTTATTTCAGTTTATTTAAGTCCCCTGTACACCCAACGTGGGGCTCAAGCTCCTGACCCTGAGATCAAAAGTCTTGTGTGCTCTTCTGGCTGAACCAGCCAGGTGCCCCGAAGTACATGCATTTAAAATTATATCTCCCCTTCTCCTCCCCAAAAGATGAAGCATCATGTGTATCTTGCTTCTATAAAAAAAAATGCCCTTTCAAGCCCACCCTTAATGCTAATGGTGACTCTGGTAGATCTGGCAGAAGAAATTGGGATCTGACCATAAGGCAGTACAAGCATCACTAATGCCCTTTCTTTCAAAGGAAACACAGCTTCCCTACGGGAAGAGAGGCTACGTCAGGTTCCGTGGGGCCTCGCTCCTTCCATAGCCGGCAAGATTCACAAGAGCCGTGGTGGCGGGCAGCTGGCAAGCTGTACACGCAAATACTCAGAGGCTCCCAGAAGTCACAAAACAGATGACCGGCTTACTGACTCCAAGGACTCAGGTCAAACATCCTTCATTAAAGAAAAGGGTATCTGGTGAACCAGCCACACACAGAAGCTGGTGATGGGGAGGAGGTTTGGCTCTAAAACAGAAAAATCTGCTTATGACTAGTCACCAGGCTTCGGAGCTTCTAGAAACACGAATGAGGAGTGAAGGATGGACAGGATTTTCTGAATGATAAATTCACATGAAAACTGAGTTTCGTGAACAGTGTCAAGAGATCCCTGTCCTAATTCATCGACACGGTTGTGGTCAGTTTCACTTAAACCATCATTCCCTAATGTACTCTTCCATCTCTGTCCCCTGACATCTTTGCTTCCTTTTTTCTCAGTTCTTATTTCCCCCACCGCAGGATTTTAGTGTAAATATTCAGTGATAACAAACACAGACGACTCCCCTACCTCCTTGGTCTCCCACAGTTGTTTTGGCAGTGGCTTGGGAACGTTTAACAGATTCTCTTCTTTCAGTGGGCCCGGGAAAGACAGCACTGAAGGGGGGGAAAAGACATATTCACCGCGTTTAGAAGGCAGCCATCCCACCCTCAGCCAAATCATCCTCGCAAAAAATGACTGATACAGCACTGTGTATTGACTGAGGAAGAGCTGGTGTGGGCCTCTGCAGCCAGGCACTGAGCAAAGGCCTTTGGAGACACAGGAAAAGGGCATTACAGAGATGGAGAGATAAGAAAAAAAAGCCTAGGGTGCCTGGGTGGCTCAGTTGGTTAAGCAACTGCCTTCGGCTCAGGTCGATCGAGTCCCGCATCAGGCTCCCAGCTCCACAGAGAGTCTGCTTCTCCCTCTGAACTTCTCCCCTCTCAAATAAATAAATAAATAAATAAATAAATAAATAAAATCAAATCTTTTTAGAAAAAAAGAAAAAAAGGCCTAGAAATGAGGACGGACTAGAGGGTGGATGACTGTGGAGTCGAGCTGCTCTTCTCAGTGGAGCGTGGCCTAAGTAAAGGAGTGGAAGGAGATCCAGTTTAGAAGGTCAAGGACAGATCGACAGGCCCCCAAGCTTGGCAAGGAGATTGTGGAAGCCGATGCAATGGGGATCACACAGTGGCCCAGGAGGGATGAAATGAGGATAACCAAGACAAGAGAAACACCATAGGGAAGACAAGGCGGCCATGGGGCTGCCTGGTGATGGGCTGGGAGAGGGGAAGGGAACTGAAAACCCAGAGGGCTTGAAGTAGAGCTGTGGGATGGCCAGCTCTGTGCTGAGGGACCATCGCACGGTTTTCTGCGTTATCGCTCTCAGTCTGACCAGGTGAAACGGGGATCATGTCATCTGATGTCAGGAAGGGGATACATCACGATTGACACTGATGACTGCTCAAAAGTAGGGATGCTGTTAGGTCTCAGTGACGGTCATGGCTGCCCCGTCTCAGCCCCACACAGCACAGTCTCCGAACCCAAGAATAACAGACCCTGGAAAGAAGTCACTTGAAACAGAGACCAAAGTTGCTGAGGAGAGTCTGAGATGCCAAGCTCTTTACTCGGCGCCAGGAAGACGGCGGTCAGGTCTGCTCGGCTGCTCGGGCCTGCCCCAGCGCTCCCAGGGGTCTCTCTTAATTCTGGTATTCCAGCCACTCTCTTTTGAAGAGCTTATTTGGCCAAGTTAAATCTCAGGTTATAGAGATTCAGAGAAAGAAAACAGTGCCTGGTTCCGAATGAATAGAGGAACCGTGTCACTCTCTCCTTTGTTAGTGGCTTCGGGGGTCATCTCGGTACATCTCCAACAGCAGCTGGCTTCATGAAGCTCAGTATCTCCTGCCAGATCTGCAATTTCGTTTTGCAACCGATTTTCCTTTTTCTGGCATTGTTTTCTTACGTGTGTCAATTACCCACTTGAAAAACTTTCTAAGTAGGAATAGACAGCTGAGAAGGAAGGGGTCTTGGGATAATTAATGGTCCGAGGGACCGACTCATTCCTACTTTGCTGTGGATGTGGATACAATTTTGCTTCCCTGCACAACCTTGTGACCATGGGACTGTGAGGACTCAGATGACAGGGAGCCTTTGTGATCTAAGTACACGGTTCCTCCCCATGCCCTTGATCGTGGCTAGCCTGGATTTTATACAGCCTCTCAGAGAAGTGAACTGAGCAGCTGCCATGGGCATTTGGGAAAGTCCTGAGAGCAGGAGTCTCGGGAGTGTGAAGGGAGCCTAGAGATGCTGCGCTCAGCGCCGGCAGGTGAAAGCAGGTCATACCTTCTCCATGTACGTCATTCTCACCATCACAGAAACCTGGTGGGAAAGGGAAAAAAAAATACACTTTTATGTGGTGCTTTCAATTTTATTTATCTAAGAATTAGTGACTCTTTCTGATTTGAAACAGAATCGTGAAAATTCCAGGGTGATTTTGGTACACTGATGCTCATACAAGGTGTACTAGTGTTTCTACGAAAATTAGAATAGGTATGGCCCGTTTGAGTCGAGAGTTGGCTCCTTTCTACTCTTCCTTTAAAATGATCTCGGTCTTAATTTTTTTTAAAAAACTGCCTCTGTCTTGAAAGAACAACGTACAAAGTCTGAGAACCTCTACTCAAATCACAAAATAAAGAAGTTCAGATCAAAACTCTTCCAAGTTGCGGGGGTGGGGGAAGGGCTGGTAACTCCAAAAGTCTACGTGACTGGTTCACACGAACCATGTGTGTCTAGAGGGACAGACTGCAAGTCCCATGTTGTATGTTGTTATATATATTGCTTGCAAAGAGTCAAATTATTTTTAAAAAAATTATCTGTAGTCTCTGTCAATTTAAATAGCATATATGATAGCTATTCACAAAGTTTTAAACATTTGACTTAGAATAAATTCTGGCTGAATCAAATATTTTTAATCCATAAAATATACTGCAGATGACCAACCACAGTATTTTCCATTGTTCTAAGCTAAAACCCATGAATTAGGTGACCATCCTCCTTGGAGCAAATACACTAAAAGAGTTTTCTTTCTTTCTTTTTTTTTTTTTTTTAAGATTTTATTTATTTACTTGAGAGAGAGAATGACAGAGAGAGCATGAGAGGGGGAAGATCAGAGGGAGAAGCAGACTCCCTGCTGAGCAGGGAGTCCCAATGCGGGACTCTATCCTTGGACTCCAGGATCATGACCTGAGCAGAAGGCAGTCGCCCAACCAACCGAGCCACCCAGGCACCCCTAAATGAGCTTTCAATATAAAATCAGGACAAAGTTTTAAGTTCTGAGCCTTTAAATATACTTAAACGCTTGCTTAAAGTTTAGATAAGTTTCTGGAGAACCTGATAAGCCTCCACAGCTTCAACACCAGGCGTAATGATCATTCTTTCAACATGGATTCGTCAAGTTCCTGCAAGGAGGGAGTGCTAGGCGTGGCCAGGTGGGAGAGGACCAGTGAAAAGCGAGAATGCTGAAGTAAATTCTCGAAAACAGGTAGAAGACCAACCATTTCAGTAGAGCCCGGGGCGGGGGCAACATTGAGAATCCCCAGCAGCACTAACAAGCTGATAAACCCAGCACGCTCATAAAGACAGAACTTCTCTCAGCCCATGGAAGCAGAACCCAACTTAGTAATTAAAGACTTTATTTTAGTGCACAGAAAGACTTGGGTAAAAGCCTGTTAAAATGGAGCTTTGTGGGCCCAAGCCTCAAAGACTGAGTCGGAGGGAGTGAGAATGGGCCCAGGAATCTGTTTTTAACGATCACCTCCGAGGACTGTCCGCAGACCAACCTTGGCCCACTTTCCAAGGGACCTGGACGAGGCTAGACCTGAATTCTGATTTGACGTCTCCAAAGAAGACAAGGTGAGGGCTGCCTGACTGGCTCAGTGGAAGACCAGACAACTTCTGATCTTGGGGTTGTGAGTTCGAGAGCCACCGTGGAGAGATCACTTTAAAATCTTAAGGGCGGGGGGGCGCCTGGGTGGCTCAGTGGGTTAAGCCTCTGCCTTCGGCTCAGGTCATGGTCTCAGGGTCCTGGGATCGAGCCCCACATTGGGCTCTCTGCTCAGCAGGAAGCCTGCTTCCTCCTCTCTCTCTGTCTGCCTCTCTGCCTACTTGTGATCTCTGTCTGTCAAATAAATAAACACAATCTTTAAAAAAAAAAAAAAATAAAATCTTAAGGGCGGGGCGCCTGGGTGGCTCAGTAGGTTAAGCATTCCACTCTTGATCTCAGGGTCATGAGTTCAAGCCCCATGTTGGGCTCCACAGTGGAGCCCACTTAATAAAAATAAATAAAATAAAACCTTAAAACAAACAGACGAAAAACAAAGCAAGGTGAGCAGAGCATCAGAAAATGAGGTGCAGAGAGAGGGAAGGTGAAGCTCTACAACGGCAACTGTCAGCAGGATGGAAAAGAAACTTCTCATGCATCTTGTGGCTTCCTTGGGGCCCTCATCTTGGGAAGGCGCTGGGAACGTGACCATTCTGACCACTACACCGGGATTATCCCATTGCAAACAACAGACTGGCTTCACTCAGCAACCTGGCATGGTATGAGGCTACATCGCTTCATCAAGACCCCAGGCCCCCCACGCTCCCTTAGTATGGCTGCCCTGGCCCTGGAACATGAGGACCCGGCGGAGGGCTACCTGAGGAAACTGGATGGCAAGCAGATACCCCACCTGCTCTCCTGTTCGTGCCACCCCTCTCCCTCAGATGGGCACAGAAGGAGGGCTTCATGGAGGAGGTGGCACCGCAGTTAGGCCCTGAAGGATAATGACGAGGATGACCATAATGAGAGCTAGCACCATGGCTCACGTACCACGGCCCAGGCTTCACAGCACTGCGAGGCAGTCCATGTTGTCCTCACAGCAGCCCTGAGGCAGGCACCGTGAGCCGCATCGCTAAGTTCTGGGACTAGAACTGTGGCCTGTGTGCCTCCAGGAAGTCCAGCTGCTGTAGTGGGAGGGATGTGGACACTGGGAAGTGAGGTTGAAGGGGTCGCCCCAGTGCAGAGTTGGGAGGAGGAGGACAGGGAAGGGGACGGGAGGCCAAATGTGCCTCCTAGCAGGAACGGGGGGCATGGCAGATGGGGCTGGACTAAAGCAGTCTGCTGGTGGCTCAGCGGGAAACACGGAAGGGAGTGACAGGATGACAGCTGAGCTCTGGAGAGAGTGTTCCAGCAGCGCGTGTGAGATGGACGGAGAGGAGAAGGCCCAAAGGCGGGGAGACGGTGTGGGAAACTGGGAGGCCAGTCCGGGCAAGAAGGAAGTGGGGGCCAGGCACTGAGGACGGGAGAGAGGCCACTCTGAGGCTCGCTGCAGGGCAGGAGGGCTGGGACTCGGCTGCTGAATGCTGTGAGGGCTGTGGGAGGGAGGGTGAGGCTCCCAGGTTCAGCGTCCAGGTAAGCGGAATAACGGTGGCGGCCATGACTGGTTTGTCAGAGCCAAGCTAACGCAGAGTCAACATATCCACGCCCGGATCTGTATTACTGGATGACAAAATACCATAGGATACAACTAGAAATAAAGCATTGAGCCTAAAAAGGGAACGCTTTGTGACTGGACATCAGGAAACAGAGGAAACTCACTCACATCCGTCCCACAGGGCTAAGGGATGGCCGCGGCCAAGGCTGCATCTGTGTTCCGGGCACCCAGGAGGCCTCAGAGCCGCTGGGCGCTGACATCCTGAGTGCAACACAGACCACGTGCCCTCTGCCCGCTCCCATGCCGCACAGATAGAAAGTACTCCAGCGGCTGGATTTGCAGAGCTGGGTCCCTTCACAACAAGCCTCTGGGGCTTCAGCCTCCCCATTCGGGCACTCCTGCCATCTGGGTGATGCTTTTGCCCCTCTTTAGATCTGAGATGTTTGTGTCTTCCCCCTCTCCGTCCTCTCCTCTGTGCAATCAGGGGTCATTAACAGGCTCACTTCCTATGGGTTGTTTGCATTTTAGACCTTCTTCTTAACTGTGCAGGTCACAGCGTTTGCCTGCGGACAGAGGATCATTAAAACACAGAGGTCCAAGACACGCCTCCTTCCTGGAGGAGGAGGTCGGGGCTACAGTTCCCAAACCGGTACAACTCAGTATCTATCTACAAGCTGTGGGTGCAGAAAAGACCATTCTCCCACACTCTTCGGTCCTGAGCTCCAGACTGCTCCCGGGAAGGACAGGGACCACTCCAGCCCCCATGTCCATGACCACGTGGGAGTAGGGGGCAGTAAGGGGACAGGCCTGGGCTACAGGACAGAGCCAGGGTCCCAGCGAGCCCTTACGCTTGCCCAGCAGTGTGCATGTGAAATGGCGAAGCACCCCGGCCACCAGGAAAATCTGGTCATGGCTTCTCTTCGTAGATTCTGAATAATGAAAAGAAAAGAAACTAAAAATCTTGTCTGATGTAGAAGCTTATTCCTGTCATTTACATCACCCACTTACCACTGACGCCTAATTGTCATGCAACTCAGTAACCATTGTGAAAATTACTAAGCATGAACAGACCAATGGCTTCATTCTCTGGGGATACACAGTCCTGCTCACAGATGTACCAGTTTATTGCTCATGTGGCTAAGTTAGGAGCAGGTACTCCCTCATCACCAGCTTGCAAACAGACAGACAGACAGTGGGGACATGGTGGCTGCATCACTGAGCTCAGGAAGGATTCCCAGGGAAAGAGCGGTTACTGCTACTTCTGCTACAGAGCCTGAATCCTGGGCTTCAACTGCATTTTCCCATCACTTTTTAAATCCTTACTTTATTTGGTTGGTTCTATAATAAATACCTTTTTGCCAAGCTAGCTGGTATTTTTAAAATCCAAAGGGAAAGAAAATGAAAAACTTTTAATGAATTACAGGGGGAAAATACACAGAACTCTTTAAAATAGCTCCCACCGACAAATATAATTCTCCAGAAATAATCCCCACCCTTGGAGACTTGAATAATATTTTAAACACACTGGCTTTCCCATGTAAACACATCCATATTTGGCCGTGTTTCTGAGTTGTGCTGTCCTCGCACGGCAAGTGTGCACAAGCAGGCCCACAGCTCGGACGCTGGGGCTGGAGGCTCCCCCCGTGACCCCCCAAACCCGACAGATGCTGCGGCCCCACAATCTCCAGTCGCTGACTTGACAAGGAGTGACCACCTCGATTCTCGAGTCGGCCCAGGAATTCTGCTCCCGATTTCTTTCTTGCTCCGTCTGCCAAGAGCAGCTCTGACACAGTTCTGCCTGATTCCTTCTCACTCACCCCTTCCGACATCTCTCATCTCTCCCCTCACAGGCTCGGCGGCTCCTGGTATGAATACTTCACCTCGTCAATCCCTTTCTGTGCTTTCTCTCTCTGCATGCAGGCCTCAAAGGCTCTTTATTTAAATTATCTGCAGTTGCCTTCTGGTCTCTAGGCCTCTGGCCCTTTCTGCAGAAGCATAAACTTTGCAGAGAGGACAGGAGATGTGAAGGAACGATAGAGGCTGAAAGGTGGCTCTTTATCAGCGTCTCTGGGGTCAAAACCCATCCATCTGGTTCCCTCCCAGTCCGGGGAGACCAGGATGTCGCTGTACTTCTTGGCACTTCCACTGATCACAGCCGCTGCTTTTCTGGCCTTTGTGTATATGGTCCCATCACTGCCTCTCCCGGAACTAAACTCACACATCTCCCCATAGACCCTGCTCCTCCGAGCAGTAAGCAGCGGGCTCCTGTCCAGTTCCCACATTCCTGCCAGCCTGACGCGCCCATTCCCATGGATGGAAACACGGCCAGATGGCCCAGACCGACTCTCAAAGATCTCGTGCTTGAAACGTAAGAAGTGCTTAGGCCAAGGCAGTCGTCTACGAGTGAGACCAACGGAACAAACACAGCGAAGTCATTACTAATCCCACCCCTACTATATGCAAGGAAGGAAGACCTTGAACAGTCTCCAAATAGAGGCTATTTGGGGTTCAAATGGTCTGAAAAATAAAGAAAACCAGAAAGGCTGGGATTATCTTGACCAAGATTTATTTTTTCCCCTGTTTTAAGACCGAACACCTAGCCCTAAGTGTTGTGGACAAGAGTCAACCTGCATAGGAAGGAGGTAATGCAAGACCATTGTTCCTATTAGATTATCACTCCCAAAGGAAAGGCAGGCTTGCGGTGTGTCTTAGTGAAGCAGGTTGGGTTCCTGGCAGATGAGATGTCAGCCCCTAGAGTGTTCTAGCAAGGGCTCTGTGCCTGCAAGCCACTGTGTAATTTCTCCATCACTGAGGGTCGCTCCTCTGTGCCGTGCACCGTGCTGGAGATAAGACCATCAGGATGCTGACTTTTCAAGAAATCTACACCAAGCAGAGGGAGAGAAGGCAGAAGGCAGCCAAGTGGCACAGGTGCCAAGATAGGCCTGAGCCTAGAGGAACTCCAGGCTATGACAAGGACATGAGTAGTTCTGGGCTGGTAAAGGGAGGAAGGTCAAGTATGGCCCCAAGGAAATGACAACAAAGCCAAGGGTGTTGGTCAGGTAGGCTGGGGTAGATCAGAGAGGAAAAGACGGGAACAGGAAGACACATCAAGAGTGGTTGTCATGGCCAACAGAGGTGACTGAGGGCCAAATCCCGGAGCTGGAGTCACTCCAAACAGAATGAGAAAGCAGACGCTGTGAGCAGTGGGCCTGTGTGTCTTACCCATGTATGGGGCAGGCCAGGTGGACTGGCCCCCTCCTCCGTAGGGATCCTGGGGCTTAGCGCTCAGAGCACTTGTGTGAAGCGCGGAATCAGAATTGGTCCTAAGGGGAGGAGGAGAGAGTCTGACTGAAAATCCATTTTTCCTTAGGAAGAATACAATATTCTTTGCTGAAAATTATCAACAGGAGAGAACTCAAGCACCCATAGGATGAGGAGTCTGAACCTACCCGAAGTCCCTCACCTCGGTAACAGCCTCTGAGTGTCGCCCACACCCAACAAGACCTTAATCTGTACGTGCATAGTCTCACGCTTCGAAGCTAATGGCATAATGCTCTATTTCAACAACGTAGAGCTTGGACTCATGGCCTCCCCCAAGGGGCTCCCTGTTCTCCCTGCGACACAGAAGACGGGTGGGACCAGTGCATTCTTTGCTCCAGATTCTCTCCATGTGAGAGTAAGTCCTCCTGTGTGAAAGGTTCCCTACAGCCGTGGCTCAGGGGGCATGCAAGGTCGAGTTGATTCTGCAAATAATACTAAATGTTCTTTGCCTTCTGCTCTCATTCTCTCATGAGCACAGCAGTTTCCTGCAATGGCCTGTGAGGTCACTATGGACGGAATGCATAAACCGAGAACCCAGCTACCTTCAAGAGGGTTGTGAAAGGTAAAACAGCGCCCCTCTTTTGGTAAATTCTTCGTTTTAGAAAATATAACGCACTTCCCAGAAGAAGGCATCTTTTATGTTGACGTATAATGAATCTATTATTGCTATACTTTAATTTTTAAATTAACAAGTATCTTTTATAAACAGATAAATATCAACAGACACAGCCATATATGCAAACACTCTTTGAGGGCCTCAGTGATTTTTAAGACTGTAAAGGGTCCTAAAACAAAAATGTTGGGAACCCCAATCTACAGCAAATTTTGGAAATTGCCCCCAACGGCTCCAATTTCTACATAATCTTAACTCTAAGGGATGATTATTTACTTTTTCTCATCCATGGGTCAAACTATCTGCCATGAAAAGAACTTGTGAGGGATGTCAGATTAGCTGAAAATGCTTCCTGTGGTCTCTTCTAGGTGACAGCCTCAGGTGGCCATTAAGCTGTGTGGCCTGACTGCACCATGGCAGTGCCGTGTTCAGACAAGGGTATGGGGTGGGAGTGGGGGCAGGGAGGGCAGGTCAGAAGCTGCATGAGGCAGCAGGAGCATGGACCCTGGGATCTGAGACCCCTGGGTTTGGATTCCAGCTCCTTCACAGATGCAAAAAGGCACAAGAGAATAACAATCAAACGCAGAGAGACAACTGGGAAAATCCGTATATAGCCTGGGTTTGGCTAATATGAAGGAACCGCTATTAATTTTGTTACGTGTAATAATGGCATTGTGGTTGTGTTTTCTTTAAAAGAAGTTCTTATCAACCGTTCCTGTTAGAGACATTTACAGGGGCAGTAAATGTCTGGCGGGGGTGGGGTGGGGGTGGGATAGGGATGGGGGTATACGGTACGACACGGATGAGGACCAAAGCTGAAGGGTGGGCGCGGGGACTTCTGGTCATGCTTTTCTCTTCTGTGTATGTTTTATATTTTACACTATAAATGGCTTAAAAAAAAAAAAAGTCTCAGTTCCATCACATGCTAGCTACATTGCCTTGGACAAGTCCTTTAGTCTCTTAGAACGTAATATTCGTTCTTGAGGGCAGCTGTCAGGATCGAAAACACTGACCTCCACACAACACTCAACCCTGGCATCGGGCCGAGCACGATCACGACAGGAGGGAACACTGGCTGGGTGCTAATGCTACCCGTTTCTCACAGATCTGATGATTCTCACACACACACCCCCCAAGAGAGGTGTGATCATCTGCCTTTTCCAGATGGGTAAACTGGGGCGCAGAGAAGTTATACAACTTACTCAAAGTCACACAGTAAGACCCAACCCTGTAGTCCCCCCAGGACCCCATCTATGGATTTGGTACTGTTTGTGCAGACATTCAATAAATGGTGGGAGATTTAGGCTTTTTAAAAATACTGCCTATAAACACATGTGACAGGCATATCCTCTAGTAACAGGATAATACATAAAGAACATCAGGAAAATAAAATCATTTGGTCTTCTTTAAATTTCTTTCTACGAGTGACCAACCCGGGTACCTGTTAAGAGCAGATGTCAGCCTGAATCCGGGGTGCTTCTCTTCTTTCCAAGGATGCTGCTGCCTTTAAAAACCAGAATGACAGAAAAAGTAAAGACGTTCAATTCACAGGAGCAAAGGGGATCCTCGGGCCCAAGTTTGAGACTAGCTCTTCTACTCACCTGGGGAAATTCTCCTGCATGCTGCATGCCTCGTTCACTTTGCTCAACATTGTTAAAATGAGGTCAGACTGAGGGGTCTCTCCAATTCCTATGATCCCTGATTTCCATGATTAAAAACCCTCACAAATCCATAAGAGGATTAGCTAGTGGGGCATATATGGAGGTTTGGTTTGGTTTTGTCTTAAAAAGGGCCAACAAGCACCTTTGAAATAGTTCAAAATCCATGACCGTCTCCTCTCTAGGGGATATGAGGTCTCCGTCCAGACGTGGAAAAAGTCACCGCTCAGCACACACCCCAAGAATGTGTGTGTGGGGGGGGGCACCCTGACAACCCTACAGGTGGAAACCGTCTTCCCTCGGAGACACTGTGAGGAGGAACACAACTGGCACGGGGGTCGCACTCACGGAAACGCTTCTTGCACTGCTCACACTGCTCTGGGCAGCTGTGGACATTTCTTCCTTGGACACTAACTTTCAAAACATCGGTCTGGAGAAGTCTTTCTCTGACTGAAAATACAATATTGTATTTATCCCACGACCCTGGAGCCCAGGATTCTTGAGGGCAGCTGAAAACCACCTGGAGGCAGGAGCCCCTGTCACCCATAAGGACATCGCGGGTCCTGACTGTGTTAATCACCGTAAGTACTCAGTCAGGATCTCCCCAGAGAACAGACAGAGAGTTAGCCTCAATGCCGTGAGCACTCTGAATGTCTCTTTTTTGATGTGTACACTTCGGTGTCTCCTGATTCTGACTTGGTGATCTGGGAACGTGCCACACAAGCAATGGGTACACCAGTCTCTGCAGCTGATTTTAGATTCCATCACTCTCTAAATACTCAATTTTGGGAGGCACATATTCTCTGTATACAAAAATATTCAGAGACCCTAAATTGAACCCACTAAGCAAATCACATTTTGAGAAGCTTATTAAATCTTTCACTCCTTCCAACAGCTTACTAAGACACCCTGAGCAAAGGTGGTTATTTTCCCATGTCTCAAATACAAGGACACTGCATCAGGTATCCTCTTGGTAGGTGTAGTCCGAGTGCATTTCCATTTGATTTTAAATATGAAGATCTAGATTTTTTTTTAAATGACTTTTCATCTTAGACTTCCAGATCAGCCTAGGATCCTACTGAAAGACCTAAGTTTTCTAAGAGAAAACAAGATTCTATGATTTATGTTAGAAATTTCTAAAACAATATTCAAAGTGGATAAAATAAAGTGGAAACATTGACAAACAACACGTGCCCACTTTTTAAAACACGGCTCGCTTACCTTGGCCAGCTCTCATCCAGGGGCTGTGAGGAGTAATTGGCTCCGAAAGTACTACCATCAAAGTGAAATTTTTTAATAAAGGAAAAATAAAATTAATGGGAAGTTGAAACCGAATGAAGGCGGCAGAATTGTGGAGAGTTAAACACCTGAGTGTCTGGTTCTTATCCCTCTACACTGACAGCTCTTCCTCTGCGCTCTCTCTGAAAGCCTATTGGAAAATTGCCCCCTGGAAAGCCTATTGCTCTCACCAGTGCCCTCTTCGTGTGATTCTTGTGGGGTCTTTTGTTTTTTGTTTTTTTGCCTGCGTAGCATCTTTTGATTTTGAGAACTGCCCTGCCCTTCACCCCCAACCTGGTAAGGCCATCCTTCTGCACAGGCCCCTCTGTCCCATGGGATAGATAAGGCTCAGTATTTCTGGTCAAGGTACCTTATAGCCTCAGAAACAGTGACTGCCTAAGGGATGGGCTCATGACACAAGCCCGAAGAGTGCTTCGGAGGAGAAACGGGAGTGCCATCAGCTGGTGAGCCTGAGAGTCCTGTAAAGGTCTGCAAGAAGAGAAAGCCTGTCCACACGGGAAGTCAGCACAGACGTGGCACCTCGCAGACAGTCTCGATGCTATCAGATGAACCCCCGGATTGAGCCCTTGGGCTTCCAGTGACATAAGCCAGTGAGTGTCCTTTTCTCAAGCTGAGGATTCCCATTACGTATAGCCAAAAGCGAGCTGCGTTAGATTTGTGGAGAAAAGCTAAGCTCCTTGGGTTGTCAGGGGCTCCATTGTATAAATTCCGTGTTCTTCTGGGGGTCTAGCATGCCTCAGAACACATTCCAGAGGCACAGAGAAAAGACGTGAAGCCATCTATCTGTGTGGAGGGCAGGAGAGCTGTCTGGTTAATTAAATTAATTAAACGCATAGAATAGTTTCAATCAAGGGGCGCCGCCTCGGAGGTGCAGTCATTTAAATGAGCGGCTCTTGGGTTCTGGCTCAGGGTTGTGATCTCAGGGTCGGGAGACTGAGCCCCATGTCGGGCTCTGAACTTAGTGTGGAGTCTGCTTGGGTTTCCCTCTCCCTCTGCCCCTCCCCCTGTTCTTTCTCTCTCTCCAAAAAAAATCAATAAATCTTAAAACAAATCTTTTTAATCATAATATTCTCCTGCTAAAAAATCTTTAATGATCCTCTGTCACGTGCTTGGGCTCAGGACGGAGCGGGAGGGGCCTATCCTGCAGGCCTGGGCTGGGCGTCCCAGAATGCGGCACTTGTGTAAGGTGGCACTCAGAGCTTCCCAGTGATCCGGTGTGAGCGGCCTCCTTTGTGAGGGGAGGCGTCATGATCCCAGTTTCACCTTCCGTGGATCCGTTTTGCCCCACCCAGCTAGCTTACGCCTTCAGCTGACTCCAAGTCAATACAGCAGAAGAGATGATTTTCAGAAGAGAACCATTTCTTCAGCATTAACTGCCAGGCTTCAGGGTGGCGAAGTGCAGACTAGAGTAGCCACAGGAGACAGGAGAGGTGCAGGTGGTCATGACAAGCACCCCCTCCCCCGCAATGAAACCCTCCAGCCCCTTCACCAGCAGAAGGGAGGGAGGGGGCGTGGACGCCCCCGGCCCGTGGTTATCTCGCTTTCCCTTTCCTGCCGTTGGATGTGTCTCCATCCAGAAAAGTGTCATTTCACGAAGCCAAAGCTTACTGCTTCCCTCGGTACACGGCCGTCCTCAGTCCCCATCACTCGTCCCGCTAACCAACAGCGAGCAGGGACACAACGGGAACATCATGATCAAACACCAATTCCTTCAATGTGGGGGTTCCAGGTGGCATTTCAGACTTTCTGATACATAGTAACGACATGAACACGCAGCAATCTCCTGACATGTCTTTCTTATGGGGGCTGGCCCTGCTGCCCGGGCCAGAGCGCAGCGGCTACCGACAGGCTCGATGGCCCTGCTGACCTGCTCCACTCTGCCCGGGTCAGGTTCACCCCTCCTTAGGTAGCCGGGTGGTCCCCACTCCTGCAGGTCACTGGGTCAGTGAGGAACTTAGCTTGCACACCTGACGGGCAGCTTACTCCAGCCCAGAACTCCTGAGCTCAAGCCCTCCCCTCAGCCTTCTGAGAGGCGGGGGCCTAGGCATGCCACCACGCCCGGCTGGGATTTTTTTTTTTTTTTTAAGATTTTATTTATTTATTTGACAGAGAGAGATCACAAGCAGGCAGAGAAGCAGGCAGAGAAAGAGGGGGAAGCAGGCTTCCCACCGAGCAGAGAGCCCAACACAGGGCTCAATCCCAGGACCCTGAGATCATGACCCGAGCCAAAAGCAGAGGCCTAACCCACTGAGCCACCCAGGGGCCCCCCCCAGCTGGGATTTTTAATATGACTGAGCTAAAGCACCAAACATGAAACATTGTGACCTCTGAGCATTCTTAATCCTCACTGTCACATTCTCACTTACTGCATATTAAAAAAAACCCAAGAACTGTTGGCATCAAGAGAACCACTAGTGTTATTGGCTTACAGTTAAAGTCAACCAAAGGGTGGGGCTCCTGGGGGGGCTCAGTCGGTGAAGTGTCTGCCTTCAGCTCAAGTAAGGATCCCAGGGTCCTGAGATCGAGCCCCACGTCAGGCTCCCCGCTTAGCGAGCAGTCGGCTCTCCCTCTGCTGCTCCCCCTACTTGTGCTCTATAGACAAAAATAAATAAAATCTTAAAAAAAAAAAAAAAAGGCCAACCTAAGGACAACCTAGAAAAGATTCATTTCTTCTTCTGAAGATTTCAGAAAAGTTCATTTGGGTGGCTCTGACGGTTCTACCAGACTGAGAGGTCCTACAGAACAACCTAAAGATGGGGAAAAGAGCCTATTTGTAAACCCGAATTTATCATTAATTCAACAAGCATTTTTGGAATGCCTACCAGCTGCCAGCAACCAAACAGAAAAGCAGCTGGCAACAGGGTCTTCAAAGAGCCAGCCCAGTTTCTCGGCCATCCACGCGTCCCGCCCCCCTCATCAGGTAGCGAGGTTGAAGATGATCCCACCTGCACCTCTGTATCTGCCCCCACTCCCCACCCCGCCCCAGGGCCCTCCTCCCCAGCTCCTTGGCTGCCTCCTCGCCTCCCTCCAGTCCTAATGCTCCCAGAGTTCTGCGGCCCACAGCCTCTCAGCCCACACTGCTGGCAAAGGGAGCTGCCGGGGAGAAGGGCCGCAGAATTGCCAGGTGTCCCGCTGCAGGGAGCAGCCCCAGGGGCCTGGACACACTTGGGGAGGCGTGAGTTGGGCTCACCCTCGCCTCTGGCTGGTCCGGAAGCCCAGGAATTCACAAACCCAGACCCCCAGCTGCCAAGAGTGCACAGACTCCAAGTCCGAGTTTCCTGCTGCCCCTTCAGCTTCGCCACCAAACATACTCCAGACTCCCCCTGAAAACCTTCTCCTCCTCCTCCTCCCCCCTGGCACCTCTACCCCTTTTGTAATCCGTCCACCCGTACTTCACCAACCAAGGTGTTCCCCAAGTGCCTACAGCTCAGAGAGGAAACTCTTCCTCATGTTCCTCCCTCTACCCACCAACAAAGGGGCGCCCTTACTCCTTCTCTGCACGGACAGCGGTAGGGAAGCTTCTTACTCACTCTTCCCCAGAGGAAGGGGAGTAGCTCTTCTGCTGATAAGACAGGACATCTGTTGGCCCACGTACCCATGGGTGGGGTCACTGAGCCACAGAAGCGCCAAAGAGTTCCACCCTCTCTTCTGGGCTGCCTGCCTCGTGGCTGGAGAGCACAGCCAGGCTTCTCCTTTTGGCTTCCTGTTCCCCTGTGGTGAGGGCACCTGGGGCAGGGCTCAGGAGCGGCTTGCTCCAGGCAGCCTGGATGCTGGCCACGTTCTCTCCCAGTCTTGGGGAATCTGGGTCCTCCTAGGGCCAGCATTTTCGGGGCAGGCCTGGGACCTCCCGGGGTGATGGATCTCCGAGTCGGCTTAATAGAACCTGCCACCGAGACGAGTTCCAGGGTCAGATTTAAGACCTAAAGCTGGTCACAGTTTGGTTCCTTCCTAATTGCTCAACCATGTCTTCACCATCGTGCTACTTCCTCTTGCCCTTTCTGCCTCCCGACTATGTCCTGCTAGAATACATCTTACATGTATTCAATTAAAATTAATTAAATTAAAAGTCAGAGGTTTGGGAAAGTGTCTGAGTGGGATCCTCTGGAGTCCCTGCGTGCATGACGGCGACCTCCTGTTTCCCTCCGCGCGTGAGTGACAGCAGGGTGGCATGGGGAATCCTGAAGTCTGAAAACTCTACATCCCACCCCCATTTCCTTGTCCTTCACAGTGGAAATCACTGATGGGTATTAGGTAAAAACTGGGTGTTGTGATCAAATACATTTTGTTAGTCCTGGCGAGAGAGAACGCTTCTTAACTGCACGGCTTCTTGGAGCCCTGACTTCAACGGTGAGGCTCGGGGTGGGGGGAGAGAGAGCAGGGCTTCTCAAAACTAACAGGCCATGTGTGTCAAAGAAACAGTGTTCTATAAACCAGTGCCCTAAAATTCTCATCTCATTGTGTGAGAAGAATCAGAGCAGAGCCTGTTCCAAAGAGGAAAGCCATTCCGAACTGTGGCCGGTCCTAATGCCTCTCCTCGCGACTGTTCGTGCTGGTTTCCCGGATGCCCTATGCTCTTGAACCTTGCTGGGAGTAAAAGTCAGAAATTTTCCAGATATCTATTATTTTTCCCTCTTTCTAAAAATACATTTAGAGGAAAGCATTTTCTATGATTCTTCAGTGTGTCTCCTTCTTTCTCAATGTGTTATCCACAGGGATAATATTATGTTAATTGCTCAGAAATTCAGCAAGATGGTGTTTGGGACCCATGTCTGTGGCCCTTGAGCAGTGAGGAGGGTGGTGAAGGCATGAGCACTTGGGAAAGGGTAGAAGAGCCTGTATTCTGAATTCTCAAGCCCGGGCCCCAGCCAGGGACCAGGCAGTCCCTCTCCTGGAGGGTGGCCCCAGGCCAGAGCCAGCTGGACAGTGTCCTGGTCTTTGCCTCTGGTGGCTGCCCACGCAGGCAGCAAAGCCCACAGCACTTGCCTTCACTGAGGCCATGGCTGCCCACTGCAGAAGGAATCTCTCCATGCCAGAGCTCTGCCCACTGTGACTGCCCACTCTGGGAGGAAGCCGGAATATTTATTAAACAACGTTCATTTTATGTGTCATAGGATGGAACCCTTGTCTGGTCCTCTGGTCTGCCTCTTCTAAAATAACTTCCAAGCCAAGAAACAGCTGAAAGAAAAGAATTCTGAATACAGTTTCTCTTTTTGTTCTAACAAATGTTCAAATCAGTGTTAAAACTCGCAATGGACAGAAGCAGGAGACAGACGTTAGGGAGGTAACAGACACATGTGAAAGGCCACCATTTTAAGCAAATTATTTCTAAATGCATGTGGCCATGAAAGGAAAGATGGAATCTTTCTCTAACTTCTCCTGACTCTATTAGCATCTTCAATATAAAATCATCCCTCTCCTGTATTTCATGGGAGCTCACCGTCCCTGCAGGAGAGACGCGCTGTCCATTTACGGACAGCCCCAGCAAATGTCCGGTCCCCGGGCCCGGGTTAGGTGCGCAGGAAGAGCATATGGAGCGATGTCTCAGACCTGTACTGTGATGAACTTTAATTTATCTGCATGTTTGACTTTTGCTTCCCCTCCCCTTTGGAGGTGACTGGTTTTCTGCGGTTGCTCCCATAAGGTGACCCGTACATGGGGTCAAGTTACACCCTAGAGGAGATCACCTGGCAGGAGACGGAGTCCCCTGAACATAGGTGTAGTTGCTCCTTCTGCGACTCTGCACAAGACATTCCCTCTACCTGGGGCATTCCCTCTCCAGTAGCCTTCCTCTCTCCATACCACTTACCACCAGTCATTTGCCTAAATGTGCAGTCATTTGCCTAAATCGTTGTTTTACCTGTTTGCCTCTGTCCCTTCCCCCAGACTATAAACTCATGAACGCAGGGACACGTCTTATTCACCATTGAGTCTCCTGTGTTTAGAACAGCACTAGTACAGGGGGCGCCTGGGTGGCTCAGGTGGTTAATCATCTGCCTTCCGCTCAATTCATGATCCAGGGTCCTGGGATCGAGCCCCGTGCTGGGCTCCCTGCTCAGCGGGGAGCCTGCTTCTCCCTCTGCTTCTCCTCCTGCTCCTGCTCTCTTTCAAATTAATAAAATCTAAACAAACAAAAGAACAGTATTTGTACAGAGAAGGGACACTGTAGATATCCCTTCTGATCTCTTCTGATCTCTGCTGAATACAGGACTGCATTATCCCCTCACTCGTGGCTTCTCCTTCCAGTCTCGGATCTGCCTCCAGGCTGCCTTTTCTGGGTCCAGGCTGCCCCTCCTATGAGCTCACGCAGCCCTCGCGGTCTCGGCAACAACTCACCACACTGTGCTGGGAGCACCCTGAGCACTGCAAGGGCAGGGGCCAGACACTGGTGAATACTTAAAATGTTTCCCATGTGTCACTTTCCTTCGATCCCCTCCTCTTCTATGTTATTCCTTTGCTTAAAAAGGCGGTGAGCGTATGTATATCCTTAGACCACACTTGCTGCAAAAAGGATCCGAGATAGCTACAAATATGTATTTATAAATATGCCACATACGTACTACAATATTCAGAGAGAACACTGACGGGAGAAAAAGAGAACTGAGAAATTGGAGAAAGACATATTTAAATCAAGCAAAGAAACACTCAAAGCCTTTTGCTTGAGAACTCCCCGCCACCTAGACCATGGTCAGATGCTCTCACGCCACCCGTGCATGCGCACCAGCAGGAGACTCGACAGGCTTCACCTCTCCCTCCAGCGTTCTGTGGAAGTGAGGACACATTCCAGAAGAGAACCTGCAGGCTCAGTCGTCATCTCCACCCTCCCTGACAGTGGTCACAAAGTACACAAGGACTACAAGTCAGGGTCTCTTGTGGACCAAATGTGCTGTGTCCCTGGGGGCGAAAGAGGGGAGAAACGGTTCTGTCTGCAGGTCCTACACCTCCTCCCCCAGGGCCTTCTTACGGGTGTGTGAGTGTGTGTGTGTGTGTGTGTGTGTGGCCCTGGGGCTGACCCACCTAGTGGTGCGGGGAGGGGAGAGGCCCAGGCACGGGCTCAGCTTGCCCAGGGTTGAATTGGTGACCTTTCAACCTCAGCAGTGGCATCTCAGACAAGTGACTCTGGACGCTCAAGTTTCCTCCCTGGAAAACGGGGGTTAAAAAGAAACGAAAATTCAGTAGTTTTGAGGACTAAGTGACACATCAATTGCCCAGCACAGTGCCTGGCCTGGGTAGGTGCTCAGCAAACATGCATGCCCTCCCCCCACTTCCTGGTTTCTCGAGAAGCCAGCTCTGCCATCACTGCCAGGAATTGGGCTCTGCAGTAACACTCACCCCGCCTTCCTGTGCCTTCCCTCACCCGTGAGGAGCGTGCAGGGAGAACTCCGGCTCTGCTGGCACACTGCTTCTCCATCCTCTCCCACAAAACCCGGCTCGGTTCTGTGTCCCCAAAGCCCTGAGCACAGAGCTGGTGGCCCAGCAGTGCCTGTCCCTGACCCCCGGGGCCCCGGCCCTGATCAACGAAATTGCCAGGGGAATTCGCAATCTCCTTCTCCTTATTCCTACTTAACAGCATAGGATTTGGGGTATGCCGGGCCTAAGAATTTTCCTAACTACCAGCTTTTTATCTTGGGTGTCATTTGCTGAGTTTGAAACTCCATAAATAGAAGATCCTATGAAATTTCCTCTTTAAGTTCTAATGGCAGTTCACCAGGTCAACAGAAATAAAAATCAGTCACATACCTGTTTTAGCTAGACTATCTCTCTAACTTGGTTCAAAGTCAGGTGTCGCTCTGACCTGGCTGCTTTCTGAAGAAGAGCCGAGGAGGCCTTGCAACAGGGCTGAATTACAGCTTGTTTATGTTCCTTTCCTTCACTCAACTCAACTCTATCTGTGTTTTCATCAAGTAAATACCCATGATGATCTTACCAACTTTTAGCTGTGGAGATGTTTCTAGTTTCCAACTCACTTATTTTTATCGCCTCCATTCATCAGATAAAATGAAGGCTCTGAGGCCAAAGGGGAACCGTGGGGAAGATAAATCCCGAAAACCTTTCAAACATTTTAAAATTCATACTCCCCCCACCCCCCCACCCCAGACAATGAGAAAGGATATTTGTCGTCCTGGCTTGTCCCCGGACCTTCGGTGGAGAGGGTGGAAGCGGGTCCTGGCTGGCCTCTCCACCAGCCCGTGGTGGCGGGTGCCGCGCACGCTATCAGCCTGGTGAAGGGAGGGCTGCAGAGAGAAGGGACAGGAGTCGGCCCGTGACTGTGAAATTGCCACTCACCGTCAAGAACAGCAACAGGTAACAACAGCAGATGAAAAGACTGATTTCAGCTTTCTACAAGTGTTTACGACTAGGCCTCGAGTCAAGGCAAATCAAATCATATAGCACGTGGGGCTGTTTCCATAAGGTTACAGAGCAATTTAGAACAGTCTTCAGTGTGTTAAGGTGAAAGCTGAAAGAATGTAATATTACAATTTTAATATTAATGGTAATATTAAAACCCGAGGCAAGACCACGGGTTCATACATCACACCCCAGACAACTCAGAAGTACCCTTGAAATGCACTTATCTAAGCCGGAGAAAGGCTGGATACGAGAATGAGAATGGGATACCTACAGACCATGGACTATTTGTCCTGCACAGAGTCTTTTTAAAATTTTGACTGAATCAACAATGTTTAAAAATTCAGGGTTGAGGCTTCCAGTGAAAAACCCGAACCCTTTGCCCACACCAATCCCACATTCCCACGTAGCAGAAGGGACAGAAATCGAGAGTGGCTGCTCTCTGTAGGTGGGATCCCCATTCTCGTGCTTTTAATGCTTACACCAGACCACTGGGTTGACGTCCTGTGTCAGACATCTGAGTCTGTAGTCCCTGAGTTAAGCAAAGAGAGAAGAAATACTACCCCAATACAAGCTGAAAATATGCAACTCATTCCCCAACATGGCACAGGTGAAACACAAACAGATTCAGGGTAAATCCATGATCAATAAATCCAAAGTCCTTTGTTAGGGGAGGCTTGGCATACATTCGTAACATTTTTGGGCTGGCATCATAAAAGGCAATTTTTTGGTTGTCAAAGACCAAACGCCAGGCGTGCCCATTATATCGCGCATGTGACATGCGTGTAATGTGTACACACTATTCTGCAAGGGCCGTGTTTGTGAAACAGCTAAAAACAGATTTTATGTAAATGGAATTATGTAAATAGTGAGCTTACTCTGAAAGGAATCATACAATGGAATATGGTTTTCTAAGGGATCTGCTTTTAGCTAAGAATGGGTCATTAATTTTTTTTTTTGTTAAACATACGGATTTTCTCACGCTGGATTTGGGGATGACTCCTCTCTCTAGAGCTTCAGTGGGCTAATAAAATGTCTGGGCTAACGGAGTCTAGGTTCTACTCTATTTTTACAACCCAAATCTGTTAACTCTTTTTTTTTTTTTTTTAAGATTTTATTTATTTATTTGTCAGAGAGAGAGAGTGCACAAGCCGGTGAAGTGGCAGGGAGAGGCAGAGAGAGAAGCAGGCTCCCCGCTGAGCAAGGAGCCCCATGTGGGACTCGATGCCAGGACAATGGGATCATGACCTGAGCCGAAGGCAGCGGCTTAACCCACTGCGCCACCCAGGTGCCCCAAATCTGTTAACTCTTAAAGAGATCTTCGTGAGCAACAACTTTTTTTCATGGAGTGAAACAGCCACCGTGATGGGTAAGCAGGGCGTCGGTCTCGGGGGATCTGCACACCCCTCCAGGGAGTGACATTCTGAAATCCCTTTGTTAATCGAGAGGAGACATGCCCACACTTTTTCAGAGCCTGTTTACACAGCAGACATAAGGGACAGATGACTTTGTTCCAGGATGAAAGGGAGGATTCTCCCGTAATGCAGCTAATGTTCACGACGGTGATGTTACATGTACCTGAAGACACAGCATTTTCACTGAGGGCTCTCAGAGCACAAACACTACCACACTGGGCTCTCAGAGGCCGGCCTACAGAGGTGGGCTGAGGGTCTCCAGAAGCGGTTCCGAAAAAGCAGAAAGTTCTTAGAACATTTTAGAGACTTCCTACGACACGCGTATGCGCTATTTACACTTGTGCCTCTTTTGCATTCGTCCCCAGGGGCCCAGATCCTGTAACTGCTACTTGGACTTCGCTGGGGGGTGGGGGAACGGCCTCTGCTACCATTTTAATTTTCTTCTCTTCCTTACCGTGGCACTACCACACTCTCTATCCCTGTGGCAGCTGAAGTCCCTCCAAACGATATTGGGCTATTTAGTCTTTCCGACTCACAGGGACCGGCCTTGCTCATGAAACGAGCTCAAGCTGGGGTTCAGTCAGGGAAGCCGGGGACCAAAGTGGACTTGGAGCAAGGAAGCCCATGAAACACTATGGTGTGATGCTTGCTGAGAGCTAAGACTCTGTTATTTAAAAATGTATTTCTGGGGTGCCTGGGTGGCCCCGTGGGTTAAGCCTTCAACTCTTGGTTGCTGTACTCAGTGGGGAGTCGGCTGGGGACTCTTCCTCCCCACTCCCCGTGCTCGCGCTCGTTTTCTTTCTCTCTCAAATAAAATAAGTAAAATCTTTAAAAAATGTATTTCTTAGATCAACTTTAATACACAAAAGAAACAGAGCCCTGACACGCTGAAGGCCAAGTATGTCATGCTTTCTGTTCCTTTTCAAGTTTTATTCAGCTTCTACAAGGCTCAGACCCACAGAGCACATCTATTTTTGTGGTCTGTAGTCTGTACTCAACAGTATTTTGTAAACAGTTTTCTGTATACTCAGTAACCCTTACAGTTCCTAATTCAGCAGGTGCACAGTGCTCTACTTCCAATGTTCCTGAGGCCTTCCATGTTGCAGTTCAAAGACCACGTGGAGTCAAACCATTCCAGCCCAGAACCTTTCCTTACTGGCAAGTCACTTCACCTTATCTGTAAAGTGGAAATGATGCTGCCGATAACTTCCCACAAGCTTGTGGAGAAAACAAATTTAGATCATGCACTTGAAAGTTGCCTTATCCCAGGGATTCTGGGTGTTACCAGCTGAAGCGTCCCCTCCCCCACCCCAATTCACACCCCCCAGTGTGACTGTCTGTGGACCTAGAACCTTCAGGAAGGTAATGAAGGTGAAATGAGGTAATGAGGCTCTCATCTAACAGCTCTGGGGTCCTTATGAGCAGAGGAAGAGGCAATGGGAGCACATACACACAGGGAAGGCCGTGTGAGGACAGGAAGAGAGGCCTCACCAGAAACCACTTCTGTTGACACCTTGATCTTGGACGTCCAGCATCCAGAATGGTGAGAAAATAAATGTCTGTTGTTTAGGCCACCCAGCCTGTGGTATTGTCAAGGCAGCCCAAGGCGACTAAGACCACTGGGCATGAGCAGATGACACATGCCCAGGGGGATGGACACGGAGAAGCACCTTGTCAAAGGTGAGGCCACCCTGAGTCCCTTTTGGGATGGCAAGAGCAGCACCACGGTTAGGGGCTCACCCAGTATTCTGAGCCTCCCCAAGGATCCCCGAGGGACCCAGATCTTCATTGGGCAACCATGCCGGGTCACCTCTGAGAGCTGCCACCTGGGGATGAAGAGAATGTCGGCAGGGCCCCGTGACTGGCTTTGGCCAAGGGCTCATGAGCAGACATGATACACATTTGTCCAAACAGAAACTGTCACACTTTTTTCCTCCTGCCGTGAGAATTCCATGACCCAGCTAGGGATACTCGCTCAGCCTGGGCTCTGCAGAGGGAGAAGCATGGAGGAGAGCCACAGCAGGTACGGTCACCAGCAGCAAATAGGAGTCAAAAAAAAAAGAAAAGGTTTGCTCAAAGTCCCGGCGTTTCAGGAATGATTGGTCCACAGCGGAGCCAACTAATATGGTAGTGACAACAGAGAGAGGCCGCGGTGAGATGGAGAGTCCTGTTTTTGTTGAGGAGCCCCAAGAGGGGTGCCACGTCCGAAGGGCCTGCAGATTGGCTCCTGCATGTTTTGAGGATGGCCTCAGGCTCAAACTGTGCCCAATGCCATCCTGTTTCGGAACACGGGAGCCAGACACCAAATGAAGAAGAGAAGGCTTCCGTGCCTCCATCTACAGAAGTTCCTCTCCCTTGAGGTCGGGGCACCACGGCCGGACCCCGCAGGGAGACCACGCACATGCTTAGGGCAGCAGCAGGGCAAGGGCGACACAGAGGAGGCAGGACCGATTTGAGAGGACACCCGAGGACGCTCCAAGTGCCATTGTGGGAAAAATCAGAATTAAGCTGGATTTCCTTTCCTTTCTGTTTGTCCTGGGATGGTGCACTGGTTTTTACTCTGAAATACAGGCACAGACGGGAGGTCCAACAATCTCTGCGGGGCCTGGGCGAGCACAAGTCTTCACACGGTGCCCCGGGCGTGAGGGAGCAGATGGAAACAGCGCACCGCAGAGGGGCCCGGGTCAGCAGCCTGACGACAGGGTGTGACACCGGGATGCTCACCCGGGACCCTCACCCGGGACCTCACCAGCGAAGGGGCAAGCTGCCAAACTCAGCTTCACATTGTGATCTAAGTGCCAGGGGCTGAGTGTGGGAAGAAAGGACGGTGTGGTCACCCGAGGCAGGGCAAAGTGCCCAACTCTGAGAGAAGGCCGACGGAGGATGGCGCGCAGCCCACGGACCTCAACAGTGGGGGGCAATGAGCGGGGCTCGGGGTGCGGAGCAGGGGTCAGAGTGACTCCTGAGTTGGCAAGTAGACAGCCACAGCCAGTTCTTAACTAGTTTCTGTGGGTGGCTTTGGGGGGAAGGAGGTAGGTCGCGAACAGTTCAAGGCGCTGCTGAGAACTGGCTGTCCAAGTGCACACAGCCCTGCTCTCAGGCTCCCGACTATTTCTGAAGGTGTCTCCACGTGGATGGCAACTGCTTCCGGCGTGCAGGGATCAGGACGGCTGCTGGGGGAGGCGGAGGCATGAAGGGGTCAGTACTGATGGAGAATGCTGAGATGAAACAGGATGCAGGAACCTTCCAGACGAGCAGAGTTGTACATTTCCGGGGAAAAGTCCAGAGCCGATGGCAGAGAGGACCGAGTGCTCTGAGGAGCCCCCCAGGGGACCCAGATCTCATCTAAGCATCTTCGCGTGTGTGGGCGCCCGTCTGCTGCCCTCCTCACATCCCCATGGAGAGCAGAGGCCCAGCATGAATGTTTGAAAAGCTGTGCTGACTTTCCTTACCTTTCCTAGAGGGAAAAG